CGAATTATTTATTTTAGACGGTAAGACTTATAACCAACAAGTGAATAAACTTTAAATGAATAAAAAAAGTTGTTTCAGAACTGAAAGATTAATTTGAGAAAAAGGAAATTTTTATATAACACTTGTTATTAGTTTGTTAATAAATATATTTATAATAAGAAATTCGTTCAAAATCCAGTTGAGGAATAAATTGATATATTAAATAAAGAACTTAAATAATTAGATAATAATAAGAATCTTACAAATAATTAAAAATAGTATCTTTTAACATTAATATTAATAATAACTAATTACAAAATTAAAAGATTATGGCAAAACTAAATCCAATCCCTCATGTGAATTAGAATATTGATGTCTCAAATCCTGAATTGGCACTTTTTGTTTTAAAAGAATCATTATTGAGAGACAAAATCTAGAATTATTAGTAACAAGTAAAAAATATTCCTTTGGATTTGATTCAATAATTGGATATTATGGCTAAGATTAATCTTGTTTAAAAATAAGAAATACAAATCTTGATTATGATAAAATTGTTAATGATTAACAATTATTGTAATAACATTTATTAGAATTTAAGTAAAAGCTATCAAGTTCACTCAATATTTCAACTGATTAAATTGAAATTTTAGGAGTATCAAAGGGTAACTTTGAAATTAGCTTTAATATTTTAGGAAATGATATGAAATCGATTTCATAATAGATTTAAAATAATCCAGAAGCAAAGAAATTCTTAAATGAGTATTGTAATGGAAATGTAGAATATGTAGCATACTTTGATCAAGCAAATATCTAATCAAAGGGAGTCACTCTTTCTTTTGATGATTTTAAATCCTTCACACAATATGAGTTTGGATAATTATCAAGAAAAAAAGAATAGAGAGGGCCTCCTTATCATAGATATGATTATTATTTTCCAATAGGTTGTTATGGATTTGGGTTAAATGTAGAAAAGTAAGTAAAATAATATGGAAATGATTGGTTAAAAACGGATGGTAATCCTAATGAATGGAGAATTATGTATTATGGTACCAAGTAAGCTGCTGTTAATCAAATTTTGAGAAATAATTTAATTGCAGGTGGAGCATAAGATTACTAAAATACTGAATGTATTGATGAATTTGGAAATAAAGTTAAAGTAGGACGTGGAATTTATTTTTCTGATAGATTATCAGTTTCCAAAGGATATAAAAACCCTGTTTAGACAGGAAATAAGAAATTTAGTGTTTATTTCATGTCTAGGGTAAATCCCAGAAAATTAGATAAAGTGAGAGCGTGAAATCGATTTATTATTTTGTTGTTAATTAATCAGAAGATTTTAGACCATATAGAATTCTAATTTAGGAAATCAAATGAAATGAAGTTTTAATTATAAATGTGTATTATTATTCTTATTTGATCGAAGTATATTTCAATATATAACTTATACTCAATTTATTTTTCTTTACTTTCATTACTTTAACTTATAAATACTGACATATTATTAATATTATTATTAGAACTATTACATTCAGCATAGATAAGTACATAATTACGCTCTCTTTTTAAATATCTATGATTTTACTGATAATATATAAAAATATATATAAATTATTAATCAACAATTCATAAAAATGATCTTTTTAGATTTATTTTTAGCTTTTTTGATTGTTAATTATTTTCACTTTTATCAGATTGTTTTAAATCCTATGAATTTTGATGTTATTAAATAGGTTCATAAGTGGAAACCTACTATATTTGTGGTTTTTTGTTTAAAGCAAAATCATTTGAATTGATGTCATCATCTATGATAACAATATCAGGAGATTTTTTTTTTTCATCTTCCTCAATTAAGTTTAAGAGCTAAATTAAATTAATAGAGTACTTCATCTAAGTAATCATCATGCTCTTAACCATTTACTAATAATTCTTCAATCTCTTTTTATTTGGCTGAAATTAAAAATAATAATTTACCAATAAATTCTTGGTTTGTAATGTCAACAACATCCTCTTCCTGTCTGATGTGCTTCTAAAATTCAAAAACTTAGTCAACATGAGTTTCGATTTGTTTGGCTAGAATAAGTTAAAGGTATACG